CCTACCAACAAGATGACTGGTCGCCTCTACTTCCGATCGCCGAGTTCGCCTATAACAACGCTCCCAATGCTTCCACTGGTATTACTCCATTCTTCGCTAACAAAGGATACCACCCAAACATCACCGTTCGGCCCGAGGTCGACATGAAGTCTGATCTAGCCAGAGACTTTGTCGTCAATCTCGATGAACTCCACGTCTTCCTTCGAGAAGAAATCCTTTTAGCTCAGTCTCGTTACAAGGAACAAGCTGACAGGAAAAGAATCTCGCACCCGGAGTTCCCGATCGGCTCCGAAGTTTTTGTTCTTGCTAAGCACATTCGTTCTACTCGTCCTACTGAAAAATTCTCAGAAAAATATCTTGGTCCTTTCAAGGTCATCAGTCGACCTGGTACTTTGTCTTAGGGATCTGCGCCATCTGACTTTCGAGTACGGCCAAGCGCTCGCCGCTCGGACTCGATCCTCCCTCCTTCTTCACTACATACGGACGACCCGAGTACGAACATCGCACCTTCGAGTCGTGGCAAGGCTTGCAGATTACGCTGCTCCGCTTGCCAGCCTGCTTTAGGCAAGGGATCTTCTTCGACCGGCACCGCTCGCAAGGTTCTCGGTCATCCTCATCATCATCATCGTCGTCGCCATCATCGCCGTCATCGGGGTCCTCACCTACGGGCTGAAAAGGAATAAGTTAGCAACAAGAAGAGGTCAGGAAAAAAAAGAGGACGCACCTGAACCTTGGCTTTGCCTTTTCCTTTACTCTTCAACCTCGATAGTTCCACAATCGGCCTTCTCGGCGACGCAGAAACATCCCCCGTCGAAGTTCCTCCCTGACTCCTAGCTGTTGCAGCCTCAGCTAGCTTCCTCCTCCGCTCGACGAGTTCGTCTTCCTGTTCGCGAGCCCGAACGGCCCGGTCGCGTGCACCTTGAGCAGCCTGACGTCTGGCCGCCGCCGCTTGCGCCGCCGCTCGCTTCTTTTTCTCTACCTCCTCTGCTGCCTTCCTCGCAGCCGCCTCTTCTTCTGCCTTCTTCTTGGCAGCCTCTGCTGCTTTCCTTGCTTTGACTCGTTCGACCCGTGCCAGGGCCTCCCTGAGGATTTCGTCTTCATCCTCGTCGATAGGAGCGCCAGGACTCGGAGGATCGGCGGGGCGGGCTGAGGTACTAGCAGAGGGTTGAGTAGTGGTGGTGGTACGGCTTGTCGACATTGTCGTGGACTTAGAAAATTTGAGGAAGAGTTAGGCCCTTAGCGGCAAAACCTTGGGCCTTTTATACGGCAAAAATGCGCACGGACCAGCGAAAATTTTCCTGCGAATTGTACTTGGTGTACGGTGGACCGAACGCCATTTCCCGGTACTAACGGCTTTTGAAATTTTCCTGCTGACTGATGGGCCAAATCCCCGATCCTGACGGCCTTTAAAATTTTTCCCTGGTGACTAACCAACTACCGGTATTAATGGCTTTCGAGGGCTCAAGCCTAAGAGGGGGATACTGTCAAGTCCATGCCGCGGGCCTCCATTCCGCCGCTCGGTACTCCGAAGATCTGCTCTTATTGTAATCTCTTCCTATTGTTCTTTCTCGCTACACATATCCTTTCGTTCTAGTCTCTTATTATTGTCTTTTACTCTTTCGTCCTAGTCTTTCCTTATTGTCTTTACTCTACCCTGCAGGTACTACTTGTATAGCTCCTAGTAGTTAGTCTGGCGCTTCGCACCGATGCGCCGTTCCGTAGATATAAATACTGCCTGTACGCTACTGTAGTTCCTCAGTTTAATTATCAACTTAGATCAACTTAGATCTCCCTTCTCAACTTAACTCTTCTCTAAGTCTTCAGGCTCAACGCCTCGAAGTACGTTCTCCTCGACCTTAGGACTTTAACGTTCTCTGGTCCGCTCCTCGTCACCGGCGATACCGCCGCTCCGACCTGGCTGCTACTTAGCTCCTCTCTCTCTACTCTCGCTCTCCGGGGACTAACGGCGTAACGGCGGTGTTGTTAATAACTTCACTACTGTCCCATTCGTCTTCCGCACTTAGACACCCTGTGGCCTTGGCACGGTTACACGGTGTACATGATCTTAACAATTGTACAATGGAGCTCTATAGGTCCAATGTAATTTTCCTATCCTGAAATTTTATCCAATCCTTAAGTTTGTTCAGAATCACTGGATCACTAATTAAACTATCTATTCTGGTGTATCACTAACCATAATTCAACAAGAGCAAAGATATGATTGAGCAGATATTCTGAAGCTTATCTGCTCATAATCTTCAGATGTGAGTAATTGTTATTTGTGAGATATTCTATGTAGTAATTGCCAATGGGATTCTTTATGCTCTGATTGTTAGTAGAAGTTGGGTGCGGAAGTTACATGTGCGCAAGTTATATGCTGATCCATGCAAGTTACATGCAGAATACATGCAAGTTATATGCAGGTCCGTGCAAGTTAAGTGCAGATCCGCACAAGTTAGGTGCAGATCCGCGCATGTCAGGTGCGGATCCATGCAAGTCAGGTGCAGGTCCGCACAAGTTACATGCAAATCCATGCAGATTGAGGCACAGAACTTTTGCAGTAACAGTTTCTGCAAAGTAACTGCCACACTTCACTGCAGTTCTGTTTACATTTAACTCAGTTGCCTGTGTCTGATTGTTCTAAGCTTACTTTTTGTTCAATTGTTTTATGCTCTCTTCCTGTGTGTCAAGTTCAGATATTAGTCCTTAGTCACATACACAAGTAAGAAACCAAGTCCCCTGATCAATACACATGTAATACCCCCACCATGGAATGAATTTCATGTCTATGACACCTGCATGAAAATGGCATACTATATACTGAATATACTTGATGATACTCTTGGAGGCTCATCCACTCACCATTGCTCAGCACATGCTTGCATGTATACATTGTAGCTGCATGCTTCTGTATTGTGAATGTATACATATACTGCAACTGCATGTGTCATTATCCTTACTTTAATTGTTCCTCTATTGTTACACTTATCTCCATAGTTTGTACACTTGCCAGAGATGTTAATTTAATCTGCAAAGTTGATCATGAGACCATCAAGGAACTAGTACTAGTGACCTAGTTCAACACAATTCCAAGAAACTACAAGAGTACTTCTCAACAGTGTTCTAAAGCCCTTCTGAGTAGAGAAATCACAACATGCTCCCACCAGACTAGAAGGCTGGTATACTCTTCAGCATTATATGAGCCAATGAATGTCATGCTACCCTCAGATACCATTGAAATTTCCAACAAAAGATTGAATAATAGGAATGTAGTGCCATTGCAGGTAAAATTTTCCAGTTTATTGTTTGATTCAACAGTCTCAATGAAGAGACCTCTTTGACCTCTCAATATCACACTCTCAAGATCACACAGTCTTGTCAAGGCCTGTAGTCATTGTCCATTATGTTGAACATCTGAGGATTTACCATTTCTTATCATTGATGAACAATTGAAAGGTGATAAGGACTACTTCAATATACATAAACAATCACTGTTCTCCCATTACTGAGACTAGTGAGCAGAATGGCCTGCTCATTAAAGCATGAGATTGCCAGAGTGAAGTAGGTGAGTGCAATGCTTCTAGGGTGTATATAGCTCCTGATATTTACTAGGATTTGGACTCAATGATTTGTTACAATGTAGTTGGTGATCAGTAAACTCTTAAAAAGTATTTATTGAAGTTATACTTTGCCGGGTAAGCGATCCGTGCAAGTTCCGCGCAAGTTACGTACAAGTTCTGTGCAGAAGTCCGTGCATAGTTACGGCAAATGCTAATGGCCCCTCACACAGTACACTGGGAGGATTCTAAGATACTCCCAGTTCAGTTTCGACGCATATCACGTGCTGGTCACAGCTGTGACCCCGCCAAAAATCTCAAGGTGCAACGAATTGGTCTTTCGAGTAGTTTTCATTTGAGTTATGCAAAAATTAAAACACGGGCACTGTTAACCTACTGCTTAAAGACAATATCAGATTTTCTGAGATTTTATAGTGAAGAATTCAGAGATGAGATAGCATTCTGGCAAGAGTGTCTAAACTAAGCGCCCAGTCCTTAATGGTCCTCGGTTCATATTTTTGTACATTGACTGCACTTTTCTCATCATCCCCAGCTGTAAATCATGCTTGAATGAGCAATGTTTTATTATGAATAACCTGGGTGATCCATCCATTCTGAGAGTGGAATAACTTCAACAAGAAACAAGATGCATACCATGGACAAGCCACAAAACTGTGCTGAAATGATGAGTATTTTGCTCTACAGGCATCTATGCACATCTCTTACTACAAAATACAATACAAAGTCCTCAAGTGCTGTTGTTCTTGACTTTTGAGTTTTTTCAAGAATGTTGAGATTCATCAAAAATGGTGAATTTTGTGATTTCGCACACCATAAAGCTATAGGCTTTCTCAATTATGGATATAAGACTTAGATTTTCTGGGTAGGTCTACCTACGAGGGTACTCAACAGGGCCCGTGTTCTCAATAGACTGTATTGGGGCTGGGTGTTGAGATAAAAAGTGCTCAAGGATTGTCACTCTGAAAGTCACTGAAAAGCACATGACGTGCGTCGAAACTGAACTGGGAGTATCTTACTTAGAAATTTTTCATTGAAAGTTCATTATTTGGTTTTTTCGTGTGAAGCTATGCTTTGTGGGATATTCACGTATTTTTTCAATGGGATGATCAATGAGCTTCAATGAGGATCAATGTCATCCGCCTTCAAATTTGTTCTGTTTTCAAGCTTTTGTGTTGATTATACTTACTCATGAATGATGCATTTTTAACAGTCCATACCGTTCCTACATAGGCTATGTAGAGATATATGAACGCACTACCCCGGTTTCATGTTTTCAAGCGTAGTATACTCTGTTAATGGAGTGGCCGCGCGTCGCGGGCCGCTTACGCAGGCGTCTAAGATTTTTTTTCTTTTGCTCTTGCCTCCACCAAATCTATCGCAATCTGGCAATAACAAGCTCGACGTGGGCCCTTTGACGAATACATGGCTGGCATCCATAATGAAGAAGATTACTTAGTGGACCCGGATGAAGTTGATCTTGGCTTGGATTCAGTTTTCATCGTGCGTTCTTTTCTTCTTGAAGCTTAATTGTGACGAATTGGGCTTACCGTAAGAACTTTTGTAGGAAGCTGCACGGCCACCATCGCTTGAAGCGACGTTCAGCATCTTCCAAGGATTGCATAAGGAATTCCGAATCCGACTCGTAGGCTCACATCCGCTTTGGGGACACCACCTGTACAAATTTCATCCAATATACTCGTCAATTATTAATTATTGCTCCTTCTTTCTTAATATCCTCAGATGGAATTCCGCGCTCTCGGTAGCTTCTTATCTTGAACAACACCCATCGCTCTTTCACAACAAGAACATCCTAGAGCTGGGAGCTGGAGGAGCGTTGCCCAGTTTAGTTGCAGCGGAATCTGGAGCTCGAAAGGTACAGTGGATTTCTATTAGCTGATTACTGTTTGCACAGTACTGACAAACCGAAGCCCAGGTCGTGATCACCGATTACCCAGACCCGGATCTCATCCAGAATATCGAATACAACGTCCAGGAGAACGTAGACGTGGCTAGGAAAGGGAACGTTGCGGTCCAAGTACGTCTTTCGGTTTATTTTGTCGGCTTGAGATCAACATTTTCACTATCGAAGGGCTATGTTTGGGGACACTCTATACACCCTTTGCTCGCATCGCTGCAAAACGAATCTAACTCCAACGAAGATCTGTTCGATCTCATCATCCTCTCCGACTTGATTTTTAACCATTCACAGGTGTGTTTAGCTGTCCTCTCGTCTAATCTGTAACATCCGACTGACACTCTCTTTTCAGCACGATGCCCTCTTCAAAACTTGCCGGCTCGCCCTCAAACCATCACCAAATGCGTCAAAATTTCCCTTCAACGACGAAGCAAGCGAGGCCTCCTCACCGGCTTCCCTCCTCGAGCCATCACTTCTGGTATTCTACACGCATCACCGACCACACCTCGCCCATCGTGACATGGAATTCTTTGAGAAAGCGCGAGATCAGGGATGGAATTGTGTCGAGGTGAGTGTCCTGCTGACTGGTTCCAATATCTCGCAATATATCTGCGCTCGCGTTTAGCTCGTAACTCAAAAATTTGACCCGATGTTCCCTGAAGATCCTGGAGAAGAGGAAGTCCGAGCGACGGTGCATGGGTGGTTACTTACCCGATCTTCGAGATAACCTATAGTACATGTCATAGTGTTGCTACGGTCGATGTCCTCACTCCTTGTGGCGTTGCTATCAATACTATCACTCCCAAATCAAAAGCTTGAACGTCGGAACCTTGTGCAGATCCCCTCGCTGATTTTCTCAAACACACGTCCATCTCCTTCACTCTTCTTTCTCGCTTTCTTTCCCTTCACCTTTTTCCGTTTCTATTCGGAGATTCTTCCGTTGGGCTTTCTCAAATATTCGCTTTTGCCGTCTGCGCGCTGATGAATGATGTCTGGATGACTTTTGTGGCATCGCCATGGAAGATAGATCGTGTTCGTTGAAACGTCAAGTAGCGAAATGATCTTCTTATGAACGAGGACATGATATGAACATTCCTAGATATCAGATCTCTCAAGTTGTTACTTACTCCCATATTCCATCTGTAGAATCTCGCCAGACAAGGCACATCAAACCCCAGTACCTGTTACGAAACTCCCCTGGAATAACGAAGCGTGTACCGTTTGAAATATCATCGAGGAGGGAAAGTAAAGAATCATTTATCATGATCTTTCGAATTGATGAAAGATGGATACGTTGGCAGTGCTTCCTCTGGGAGATATTGACCAAATGACTTGTAACAAAGGGAATTGAAAGATGGATGTTCACTTGCTGAAGTCGGCCTGCGATCATCACGTCCTCACTCATTCGCCTTTTCACCAGTTACGGCTACGACACCGAAAGGAACGTTCAAGCTCACGTCCTCCGTCAAGTCAGCTGCTTCCCTTCGTCGTGATCAACCGCCAATCAGTTCCAGAACCATCTGTCGGACGGTGGACGATAAATAGCGCTGATCTACCGCTAGCCTCTTTCCCTTCCTCCCCCCTTCCTCCCCATTTCCCTCCCTCCCTCCTTCTCTGTCTTCTCCGGTTCAAATGCTTCCTTGACGTCCCGTGAAATTGTAGCTTTGCACATCCCCCACCCTTAGAACCCCCGAAAACCCAACCTCTCGCTGGACGATTACGAACACGTCGCACTCATCCACGTCGAATTTTTTTTGCTCAATCGCTAGAAACTTTACTGTGAAGGAATGAAAAACGATCCATAGCAATCCGCTGCTTCGTCTCAGACAGAGGCAAATATCCTTCCGATAACGGTAACAGTACATCATATGCAGGGCGTCTGGGATAAGCCGTTTACCAAGATTGTGTTGACTTCTCTCTTAACAGTTAGTATACTCGTTTCGTCTTATACTAGCATTCTCTGACGTCTATCGCTCGCAGGTTGCATAGTTGAAGGAGGAGGGGTTGAAATGACTACACATTATAATACGATTCTGATGAACAGTTAAACCGTGTTGCTTTCATTGTAATTGCGTGGCGCGTTCTTTGCAGCCTTCATTGCAATCCCTTCTTTGCTTACTATACAGCTCATGATGCATGATGCATAATGTGCCTTGCCTGGATAGTACGTCCGACGTTGTCTCTGATTGGCTAGCCTTTCCAGCAAAGAGTCGTAAACGCTCGTACTTCATTGAATGATTTACGAAAGCAATGAATTTTGAATTGAATTTTGAATTTTAGGTTGACTGTCTCCCAGATAAATCGACGCTCAGGCCCAGGTGTGGCATACCCTACAGTGACTATGGTCACATCTCGTTGCCAGACCCCCTCGAGAAGATCTTTGTTCATTGTTCTGAAAACGGACCTTAATAATGAGTATCATGATACTCCCTCGAAAGCGGGGAATAACATACCGAGATCCTCAACGTAGGGGCGCTCGATTTTACTGAGATACTCGAAATCCGAAACTCTGTATACCGCTGAACCCTGTTGAATTTGCATAATGGTCGTCGACTCCATGCGGTAAATGACGTGTCCCCGACACGCGATCTCCTTTCCCGAACTGTCTTTCAACGTCACATTGAACCTGTACTCCCCACTCTTCCCTTTCACTACATGCCCCTTGAATTCCACCTCTTCGCGAGCCAGCGAATGCCCGAATTCGGGATGGTGCTCCAATGTCTTTTGCAACAGGCGGAAGACGGCGGTTTCGGTGTTGGCTTGAATGCTCGGAGTAGATGGGTCTTTACCGTGAAAAAGGACCGAGGCTAGCTGAGAAGTGCGGGAGGAAAGAGGTCGAGCCAAAATGAAGTCTTCAGCAGGGGCTTCAGTTGTGGCGCTTAAGGAGTTGAGGTTCATAGGAAGCTGGTGCGATTGAATGGAAGGATAATTAACCTTGGGATTGAGCAAGTTGAGAATGACTTACTGGCGTAGGACCGGGAACGGCTGCTGCCAACACAACCGAAACGAAGCCGAGGGCGGATATCATGATAATACGGTGAAAATACATTAGTCGAACAAGGTTCGTAAAAAGAGAATAGTTCTGAGTAGCAATATAAAGTAGAAACGCTGATAAGAGGTTGCGTGTTGCTGGCTTGGAAAAAGCTTGAGGCTCAATGAAGTTCAATAACGACCGACCAGCGGGTTAGATTTTTGTACCTCTCCGAGGGCTCGATCTTTTATACTCGAGCCCTATTGATCAGTATCACACTGCTATCAGTCCGTATCGGACTGTATCGGGTCGCCCTTGCAGATATCGTCCGGGATTTCTACGTCATTGATATCTCCAAGTTTGTCTGCGCAAAGAAGAGCAAAGAAGGCATAGCCCTATAACGAGTTCAATATATTATCCTTTCTCCTTCAAAGCTCTTGTTTTTAGGTGGTCTTGGATATATCTCGATAATACTGTGTGGTGGTGAATCTGCGAACTGATGCGACGCACAGTAGTTGACTTCCGAAGGAGAACAACGTGGTATATAGGCGTCTAAATAGTAGATTGCGTTCTTTCCTCTTCATTAGGCTTGCAGAGAGAACAGAGCTGGAATGCCGCTCCACAAGGAATATGGGTAAGCATCTGCGACTGATCTGCGAGCATCCGCTCAGGCATGCAGTTGGTTTGTCAAGGGTCTTCGCCATACATCAGAGCATGTGAGTGTCGGTGAAGGATTCAAGGGCACTGCGAGGAGAGAAGGTAAGATTGTATAGCGAGACATGATGCACGCTTGGTATAATATCTTGACCGCTCCACCTGTAAGTCTCTTGGGATTCGGGACATAAGCGCCTGAAAACAATCACGGCATACATAGTCGCCAACTCCCGAAATAATGAACATTACGATTTGCTATGTGGAGAAGTTTACGCCTCGGACCAGGAGATACAGCCTTCACTCGGAGCGTAACATACCCGTCTCCATATAAAAATGACTGTATCAGGGCGTCAGACATGCGATGAAGCTCAACAAGCAATATAAGCCTTACCGTGAGTAGTTGACGATTCATCTGAGCTCGATCAGCAACTAAGTTGCGAGACGTGGCTGGATTAGGCTTCGTTGAGTGATATTTGGAACACGCGATGATAAACGGTCATTCAAATGTCCGGGATGGAAAAAGGTTTGATTTGTACATTTCACAATCGGTCGACATATCTTAGTATAACTAACATATCTGTAAGCATCCTTCCTAGCCGGAATAAGGATTGTGAAACTCACCCTTTACCATCACTAGACCAGCTTCTGACTAGGTCATTTTCCGAATACTCCTCCAAGACGACACCGAGTCTCTATGACTATTAACCTGCCCTCGAAAGTTAATGTACTGAGCGAAAAGAACCACGGAGGCGACGATTCACGAGCATGCCGCCAGAAGAGTTTCGATCTTGCAAAGGATCAAGCACATAGCTCGCGCTAGTAGTTCACGTATCGTCACATACGGAAGGAGGCTCACCGGTGGCTAGGGAGGACATAGAATGTTCCCTGGGCTCAACATCAAGCATTGTAAACTTGTTGATCTCAATAAACTCTAAATGCGGTAAAAGCTGGTGAACCGTATTCAACAATGTGTACCAGATATCAGGCCTGCAAGGCCGAACACGTATAATTACACTACAACATCATATCACAACATCCCCATGACCTATAGCTACATCACCCCACACGGACACACAATCATGACCGAGAATGACGAACGGAGCCGAGCGAGAGTCTTAGGGCAGCCTAGGTAGTCGCTGCAGCTCCCCGCGCCTTAGTACTAGTCTTACTTACTTGCGGTTAATGAAGAGTTCAAAAAAAAAAAAAGTGTACCAGATATCACCCACGTTTCATTTTTGCGGGGTAACTGGGATCCCCTGTAGTATGAGTCAGATTTTGCTCATGCTGTCTACACTTTTCTTCTTTGATTTCAAATAGCTGGCAGGAATGGAGAAGGACGAAGACGACTTTGACAAGCGCGCGAGCCACACGTCAAGGCATTTTAGGCGTCTAAGTTACTCCCATGGTTTACGCTTTACCCCGACCCGTATCAATATCGCTCTTATAGGGCCTTAAATTATGCCTAAGGCCTTGGGTACCCACAACTCTTGACAATTCCTTACTCTTAGGCCCTTCTCGGAGCATTTGCGGTTCAAATTCTTCACCTTTACTCGACTTGACTTGACTGAATGCTCTAACAATGCTCTAGTGTTGAACATTACCATGCCTTCAATGGTTGTCGTATGCCTGTTTATTTTCTCAGGCACTTTGTCCTTCATGAAGCTGTAGGGAGAACTAGGGGATTGAGGAGAGGGGAAGAGGAGGAGGGGTTGTTGGAGAGGAAAGAAGGGAAACCACGGTAGAGAGGTGTAGGAGAAGGGAAGGGGAAGATAGAGATATTGGAGTGGAAGGAAAGGGACTGGTGTCTGTGTAAACAATCTCCTAGTATTCACTTTCCATGCCAAGGTTGTGGTCATAATGTGATATCAAATACAATATTGGATCTAATTGCATCATGTCCACAAATTACTAGACTTTGCTACTCCATGAACCTGCTGCCTACTGCTCTGGCTACTTCTTTGTCTTGGTTGTAAGCATCCTAACAGTTGCCTCAAAATCAGAATCTGCTTGCTGCCCCATAGCATACATCTTATCTGTAAGTGCATTCCCTATTGGTACATGGTCACAGTACACTTCATGAACCGTCAATGGCTTGAGCTTGTCAGAATAAGTGTATTTCTTCTGAGGATCTTGATGTGCGAGAATGGCATACTGCCAGAAACTCTCAGTGAGGTGATCATCTATGGGGAATAATGGTTGCAAATCACATTTGGAAGATGAGGTGTGAAGATTCAAGTAAGAAAATTGAAGCAATAGGAAACTTGAAAGTTGAGAAGCAATACTGACCTATAGAATCATCAAGCACTGTTGAGAGATCCATGGGGCTGTGAAAGCAATTTCATCAGTATGAGATCGGTTCAATGCTCTTTCAGAAATGCAAATATTACCCAGTCACCATTGTTTTGGCCATAATACTATCGTATGAGGCTGGCTTAGTGTCAGTCCCAGTTGTATCAATGTTGTACATTTGGAACTAAATCATCAGTCAATTAAATATAAATTTCAGATCTCAAAGCCTCTTGTCACTCAGGAATTTAGCATGCAAGAGAAGCTAACCTCGATCCAAGAATTATCCTTTGCTGTGAATTCCTGTACATGTCTAGAAAAAAGATTATCTCTGAATTAATGGCCGGGGAATATTCCACACTCACTCATCCCCATCCCAAGAGAACTCTATTGCCAATCAGGGGAATCAGCTTGGAGCACCGACAGACTATGATTACTGCTTACCAACAACATAAGCACTTGTCTGCGTGGATCCGTCATCCTGATCTGGTGCATGGCATACAAATTGCGCAGCAGCATAGATGCTATCTGTCATATATCCAGCATGTACTAAAATATGAAGATAATTTGAACCTTGGCACAACTGAAGAAATGACTTATGACAGTGACTCAAAACATACCTGGACTGCGGTGAAAATCACCACCTTCAGGCTTTCCTGCTTTATTCACATCAAACCCCACTTTCAGAATACTGTTGGCCAAACTTGATTCAAAGGTACCATGGAATAAATGGACACTGTGCTTTGCACTAGGATGAATAAGTGTACTTCGGCTTTGCTGTCTTTGGATTGGAATGGAATATGCATTGCTGGATAGCATCGGAGAGAAAAACAAGGTAAAAGACCAGGACGTTGTAAGGAACATGCTGATTGAGGTGATTTGGAATATGAAACTGAAGATTCAGGTGTGTAAGAGAAATAGAGGCAAGTGATGCACAATTTGCCACCTGTCAAGAAAAGATGAGATGTTTCCGTAACTTGAAAGTGCAAGCCTCAGAAAAATTACTTGCCAGTGCAAAGTGTCAGAATGAAGGTCAACTTGAGGAAAGCTTTTCGACCTACAGAGTCCTTTATACCGCATCTGTCTAGGTGCGCTAGACATTACAATGGGGTTCTCGGCTGCTACCGGGGAGTATAGTAAGTATATTACTTATTTAGAAACACCGTGGTCACCGATTCGGGCAGGAGCCTTCGCAACCTCATTTTTCAACCCAATGCAAATTCCACCCCGAGCAATCAATGACCACACTGATAGTTCATATTTCAGGTAAATATAAAAACACAACATTTTCCAGAAGGGGCAAAATTATGTATTTTTAGGAGCATATATCTAACACCTTCATAAAGCGGCAGGGAAGGGATATTTCAAGTGAGTGGTATGGTATACTCTGTGCAAGGTTTGGATCTTATATCCATGTAATGGAATTGTAAGATTTATCATATCTCCATCTTACTTCTTTTGATATCTCTCACAGGTCCCATCAACTTTTGTTAAAATCATATTTGGTCAATAACATTCTCTAAGGATCTCTGCACTTCTTATGTTACACACATAGTTAGATTGCGTATTAATTATTTCTTTATGCGTACAACTCAATTATTAATCAATATTATAGAGGTTGATTTCTAAAAGAAACTACACTTATCCCTTACACCTATTCAGTCACTGCAATCGTCTCATCTGATAGTGAGCGTCCATGTGCTCTGTGAGTAGCAGTGTAGTCTACCAGAGCCAAAGTCTCGGATCTCAGTGGCAAGGCCAATGATATTTGACTTGTATTGTCTTTCACATTTGGAGAGGAAGGACCTATGTCAGATAAGTGGCTGCTCCAAGACTTAGCCAGTTTAGGATTGTCAACTTCCTTAATAATATGAGGTCCAATGATGGAAATGATTGAGCTTCGATCCATGGTGCTAATCTCCAATGTTGATATTTGCTTGCTCTCTTGTTTCATGAGAGAACCATACTGAGGTGGAGCCGCTGCTTTGAAGCTTGTGCAGAGAGATGTAGATATTTATGGAGTATCCCAGCTACTCCTTTCACGGTGGATGAGAAGGATGATTGCAGTGGGGTATAGACCCTGCGGAAAGTCATTGGTCATATTGCCCACTATAGGGTTAGGACTCACCACGACCTGGTACCGCGTCTGATTGAATATATCCGTCATAAAAAAGGCGGGAGACTTGATTCCCATCACAACTGGAAAGTAAGTAAAAGAACAAGCCGCCTGGAGGGTCATTCAGTTTTTGTATCACTTATAGGATGATAGGACACTCACCCAGAACAGCATATACAGAAACCCTGATTCCAAGAACAAGATCATGATCTTCTGAGCTGGCGAACAACTTTTCTTCCATGATCCCGAGGACAAAAGTGAGTCAGGAAGTGCAATGAATGCCTCTCGACGTTGCCATGCTTTGAGAGCAATGAAAAAGGTTGCAATGGCATTTGTACTGAAGGAAAGGAGAAACATCGCGCTTTCAAGTTGGGAAACATTACAACTATAATGACAAGAGTTCAGATCTTGAATTCAGGAAAGATAAGGGTAATCAAATAACTTTACCTTTTCAGTTGTGTTCCTGCAATATACCACCAGTCAGCCTGGCCTTCACAGCCAATGAAATATAAGATCGTTGCAACATTGAGAAGTGAAGATAAATGCAACTCTTGCCATGGACAAGGAGGACATACTCACCGAAATCCCCCAGCAGAACAATGATCATACTAAACATAATCTTCCAATCAAAGGCCCACAATGCACCTGCTCTCCATACCATAAGTAGTATATTATAAATTTGATGAAACTGGAATAATGTAATCAAATAATTTGCTCTTGTATTAGCATATTATTTATATCTGTAGTATGACTTCGAAAAATCATTGCCTTCCCCTTGCCTCTATTCAGAAGCTGTAGCGGTAGTGCATTCCACTACTACTAGTGGCCTCAATCTCTTGGGAAAGACCAAAGTACTAAGGGGGGGAGGACATAGAGAAATAATCAAAATAAAATGATTTAACACAGCTACTGCACTTGAGAAAGTTCAATGTAGGGCTATGGCAGCATTAAAACATCCTCCTAATTCTCCTAACCACACATCAATGCCAAAACTTGAGACTAAAATTGATGAAGATAAGTACCTAGAAATCATTTCCCCTTGAACTTTCTGTAGTCTCAATATTGAATTGGGCAAGGGCATATGTATCATCAGCTGTATTACTGGTTTCAGAGATATTAAACCGCAATAATTGATTTGGTGGATGTGAGATTGTGTGTGAATGTGAAGTGTTTGTCTCAAATGTTATAAGTGTGTTGGGTGAAACTCCATGTTGCAAACCAAAGCCAACCCGTACAACAATCAAAAGTGGAGTAATGGTCTGCAGGTATAATAATATCAGCTCTTGAGTCTTTCTACAAAAGAGAAGAAGTTTTACTGCCAGTTGAACAACTGAATCAATAGCTGCAACAGAAGCCACATTGCCAGATAAATACAAGCTGACTGTGATCAATGTTGCAGTGGCAAAGATTCCACCAGATTCCACAATGGTGAATATAACACCCATGTATGGGTGCTTGTTCATCTTCATTCCTAGGTTCTCAAGTGCACGGCCCGCACTCCACAATCGATATGCAATGCATAGGGTCACACCAATGTTCACAGCAAGGTCCAGGGTCCAATTAGCAATGGCCCCGCGGTGCACAAAGAGATCAAAGACTGAAATGTGAGGAAGAGCACCACGACGGATAGTGAATATTCCAGATGCTTTATTTCATACATGTTAGTGTATGGATAGATATGAGTCCGATACTCTCACCTATATGGGCAAGTTCCATTACAATCTAGCAGAACACATGAGCTAAGATCAACATCAACATCTGGATTATACTTACAGGAAGGACAACAACTATCCATCTGTTGCCATACACAACCCACATGCGCCAGATCTGTGAAAATCATCAAGTTCGATTTTGTACAAGTGTATTGCAGGTATGCTTTCCAGAATTGCATCTTGTCCAAAAACCTCAAAAAACAAGCATGAGTATTTCTAAAACTAGGACTAGATATAGTCCACATACATTGACTTCATATAAGGCCAGTTTTGTGATTGAGAGAGAATTCTGAATGGTGGCAAAATATATACTAGCACCACCAGGAGGGCCCCAAATGAATGCTTCAAGAAGTTGGCGGAGACAGACAGACACATATGCTGTTGACAATGAAAACAAAAGAATGGAAGTCGCCAGCAGAAATCTAGACAGAATGGGCATGAGAATAGGGCCAAGAAAGGCAATCTACTCAACTCACCCAGCTGAGGATTTTCCTGCTCTGTACATCTTTGTCAGAACAAAAATCGCAGCTGCAAATATCATCATACTAGTGGTGTTGTCATAAGTTAGATCAATCCTTGCATAGTGAGTAAGGTAAAGCATAGTACAAACTTAATGCCTAAAAAGCTTAAAAGTCAATGTTGCGAATCATTTTGCTGGTCAATTATATTGCATACCATACAGTGCAGTCTGGATCCATATACCAATCAAGAACATATTGTCATAAGGAGGAATTGAAGCATTACTAGCCATGGTGTCTCGATGCTAAGGGTGGTGATAGTCAATGACGGATAGGATGAATGTGTCGGAATTCTTATACCTTTATAAACGTCCAACTGTATGTATATGAAACCATCGGGGATTCAATTGAAGCTTTCTCCGATTTGCCTCCATCTGCCACTCTCGGGGGTTAATCTGGTATCAACAAGCAAAACCAATGTTGAACACAATCTGATTTCAGCCTTGTTTATTAGGTTTCGACTGTTCTGTTCTGTACAGTATTTATAGATTTGTCTATTAGATTCAGCATGTATCTTGATATCTTTAGATAATATTGCACAGGAGAATCTCATGGGGTATGTTATTGTCAAGAATCTGTAACTTGTAAGTGGTCACTTCAGGGACAAATAGTTAACCTTGCAGAAACGGCGTCAAATTATGCCTCGTCACCACCAGGCAGTGCATCAGTCTATCAATCACCGTATCTACCGGCAGTCAACAGACAGCTCTACTTTTTTTTGCACTAATGCTAATGATTGTGAGATATTCCTTGACTCACCAAGTCACGTATTCTCGAAAGAAGTTATACATAGATTCCCAAGCTACATGTTCGATTTGTTCATTGGTTTTGGTGAGAGATGAGGGCTGGGATCTTGAGAAGAGCACTTGTGTTTCGAGGAGCTTCGCATCCTTGACCTGTCAAACTGCCAAATCAAATGCGAAGATGGATACTCGGAGCTGCCAGTGTTCGGAGGTTGAAGACTAATTATGCTTGATACAGACTAGAGCGCCCTAGACTACCAATGGGAACATTGTAAATGAATCCAACCAATCACTGAAACGGCTCAGGATTCGAATAGTCTTTCAAATCTCCCTCCTTATCCCCACTCCATTGGTCTTAAATGCTTACCGGTTCATATTTATTACTATACTGTGATTCTGGTCATTCCTGTGCTTTCAATGTCAAGTGCTTTGAGAACCGTAGGGAAACAGACTTGAAAATTACGAGGCTGTAGTTTACGGAAGTATCGTCTTTATGTATGGTACTCAATGCAAATATAATTTCCTTTTATGGTTGTAGTTTCGCCTTATTTGGCCAAAGGTAACACTGAGTTGAATTGTATTGATTTCTTGTGACCGGCACGGGATATCACGAGACTGTGACTCTCTGTCACGATTATTTTTTCTCGTCTCAAGGAAAACGGCCGAGTTTTTGCCATGCACGGCGTGCAGTGGCCTGCAATCGCTTGTTCCTTGCATCATTTCTCAGTCATGTCTTTGATCAGACAGGTAATTCCATATGGACAGTATGATGAGAAATGATATCTGCAAATCCTGAATATCTGGCTAATCGCTCAAGAGTACTCTTAGCTGCTCTTGGAAAATAGCCAAATATACATATTGTGTAGATGATGATACAAGAGAGGGTGATACAATAATTGAATCAGTCAAAATTTGGACAACAATGGATGAATACATACATCTTCACAAACACTTAAATTGAATGTAATGTTGCTTCAGAAATGGCTATGACTGTAATGCATCTGAAATAAAAGCAAGTCAGTGGTTTGAAATAATGGCTTGAGGATACAAATCCATTAGGAGACACTAAACTGGCTACTTCATAGTATCAGCCAATGAATAGGAAATATGTGAATATACATCTGCAAAACCTGGATGTTCACGAGAGCAAGGGTACTAGCTGGAGAGCGCTGTCCAGCACTGAAAGCACTCCCAGCAGTTTTTCAGTACTGCTGGGAGCGCTTTCCCAGCTGGACAGTGCTGTCAGCTGCTTTCGAGCTCTTAGCCGAAAATCCAGGTTTTACAGATGTATCAATTCAAATACAGTACTTCACCCAGCAACAACAAAGAGCAGTTCCAAAGTGGACTCTAATATTAAACTGTAACTCTTGGAGAAGTATTTGCCACAGATATCATGTCCCTGGGCCTGATGTTCATGGAAGGCTTTTAATGCTTTAGGGAGAGAAAGGAAGGATGATTTTCATTATAAGTATCTCACTTACAATCTACATGATTAGATTCGTCACCATGAGAGTATTATCAAGCTCTACTCAACAAGTCTAGATCAAGGCTTCATGAATAATCTCAAATTAAAATACAGTAATCATCCATGTATCTGAGCACAGCTATAATTATTCTCAACACCTTGCACAGCAATGACTCCATTTAATATCTTATATACACGGACCATCTCTGGGGGGTAAACAATGAGAAAAAGGAAGTAAGCAAAAGCAGATTCAAACTACCTCAAAACACTAACTTTCTCACTCGTTCTTTATATGAAGCAGTTCCGAGTTGATATTGATCTGGCCGCTTTCCCATTGAGAATAATCCTTCAGTAACCACAGAGCTCCATTTCTGGTAAGGCCATCCGTATTGCTGATTTTCCATTGAACGTAGTGAAAGACAGTGGTGCAAACCCAGGATTTTTGTCCTTCGACAAAAGTCAGTTCCACGTTCCCCAGCTTGTTGACTACCGCGGGAGATGTGAAAAACATCTTCAGTTGCTCATTTATCTGTTCCTGCCACATGCTTTCTGTATCTTGTATCATCAGAATTTCAGCTTTGTAAGTAATATCCCTTGTACTACAATATGATACCAGCTGGTGTTCACAAAGCTGGTATAATTTCAAATTCCACCATCAATAATTTGGGTGGATTTCGAAAGTGGTGGATAAATGATGACAATTTGGCCAAGGAGATACTGTCCTCTAGAAATCAAAGTATTTCTTATATCAAGTATCTCCTACAGTTCAAGTTGTTTTTGTAAGTCCTTGACCAGTGTTTATACATGGCTCTGTGTCTCTTGGTTAGGTTCTTCAACCTAAATTTGGCAATACCATGAGATTGCAAGAATATTTCATCATGCCTTTTATATGATATTCCAAAACTATTGGCCAACATCAGCAATGTGACTTCCTCCCCTTCATCATCTTAACTATCCACAAATGACCCAGAATCTCAAACTCCACATTTCAGTGCAAATAGTGCTTAATTTGTGAGAAAAATATAAGGGGGATAGTAGCTTTACAATATTGGTGGCTCAATGATATTCCAAATACTGTATTCAAAATAGTTGTAGTGTATAGAGACACTCAGAACCTTGTGATTGAATGCAGGATTTCAGTCCCAAATGATTTCAATGCAAAGGGACAGAGCCCTATTGCCCACAGTGAGACTGCAAGTAAGTGCAGGAACAATGCAGGTGAATGCAGTAACAGTGCAGGTAAGGTGCAGGCTGATGCAGTCACAGTGCAGGTAAGGTGCAGGCTGATGCAGTCACAGTGCAGGTAAGGTGCAGATGTGTGCAGTTACAGAGCAGATGAGGTGCAGGTGTGTGCAGTTACAGCGCAGTTGCATGCAGTTACAATGTGGATGTGTGCAGTTACAGTCCAGGTGAATGCATTCAAGAGGTAGGAGCATGCAGATGCACCTGTACATCCTAGATTTTTGTCTAAGAGACTGACTGCACTTTCCAGCACTGAAGTGGTTTCTAGACATTGCTTTCAGTGCTTTTGGCTGGACAGTGTACCCTTGCTGTTATGATTACACAGGTTTTGCAGATGATATGAATGGGTGAGTACAGTAAAGTGCATGTGACATACATAACTAAGCATATAGGATTTGCATACATTTGTAAGCCAAGCAATATATCAACTCAATGTGCATAGACGTATCCTAAAATAGTTGAACATGCAGCAAATATGAACTCAAAATAGCATAACATAATTAGACAAAATACATATAAATGCTGGCATTTATATGCCGTAAGTGTGATGCAGGTACATGTAGATACACTGCAGTGGAATGCAGATACCATGCAGTGACTGTCACTGCAGGTGGTGCTGCAAATGCTAGTGGCCCAACGCAGAGGATTTTCGTAAGTTCCCTTGGTTTCTTCAGTGCGAGCTAGGATTCCTCGGCGACTGATCTGAGCTTCCAAAGTCTCCATCTTAACCCAGGAAGAATGGGTCGTTGAGACCGGGACAAGTTCAAAACAAATTGGAGTGTTACTCACGGGTCGGGGTGCTGCCCATACGATGGAAGTCAGGCCAAAGAAGAGGAAGAAAGATATCAAGAAACGCATGATGGTGGCAATGGGTTAAGTGGGTATAGGAATTGTCTTCGTGCTGAAGGGTGTTGAAGGTGAGTGGTGGCTTGAGTGATACTGAATGTCGCTGATAGCAGGCAGAGGGCTTTAGATTCAATCTTTGACCAGCAAAGATTTAGCGAGAGAGTTATTGGGGGACCTGATACGAGTATTGGGCTGTATTGGGTTCAATTTATAGACCCCCGGGCCTTGTCGGTACTGATGTGCCGGCTGGGGCCCGGCTCAAAAGCCCCGGCTAAGGCTCAAATAGCCCCGGCCAAAGCTCATGAAAATCTTGAGCCGGGCCCTACATGAAAGCCAGGGCCCGGCTGGGTTCCGGCTCAAGCTTGGGCCCCGGCTGTGGTAGGTGCAAACTGTGAGATTCAAAATTTTTTTGATCTGTTCAAGTATTCACCATTGGATCATACAAAATCCAATGTAATATGTGAGTCTGAAAATACTGCCACAATGGTCTGAAAATTGTATCACAATCATTGCCAGAGTACACCATTGTTTCTTAATGCTCTAACTTTGTGAGAGGGGTGTAACATTAAGAATAATAGTGTACAGCAATCAAATGGTAGAATTCCAGTACACTAGACTTATCAGAGTAGCAAGCACCAAAATCATTACCTGTTGTTTCAACTACTGTCAATTCCAAATCAGATCAAAGTGGTTCCTTCCTTGAGGCTTGTAGACTAACATTCAAATTAGAAGGTGCTGCCATGTTATAGTAAAATCTACAACATGATACCTTCCCAGTCCTCATTAAGAGAGATTCACTGTGAATATGATGATTTGATTTAAGCTCCAACCCATCTACAATGGCAAAAGTATCCGAATTGTAATGCTTGAACAATTTTAGGTGATTATGGCATGAACCAATAGTTATCCTTGCAGCCAAAAATGGTGCTAGTGATGCCCATATAGGTAAATATTGAGCATTTAGCTTCATGCATATCAGCCATTGCCAATTCCCAGGTGGGAATTTTGGCACAAAATTCGGCTACTCAGCCCCGGCTCAGAACCCGGCTTGGGGCCTCTGAAAATTCTGAGCCGGGCCCTCAGCTTTCCACAGCCCTAGAGACGGCTCCGGCCCGGCCAGGCTCATAGGGCCCAAGGGCTCAGAGCCGGAGCCGGCACATCACTACTTGTCGGTTACATACAACAACAGATGTTCAATCCAAACAATCAAACAGAATCAAATTTAGCGCAATGTGCCGCCGACGGAATAAATAAATACAGTGAGCAGCGTACAGTTGACCTGCTCTGGGGTTTCCGGAAATCATGCAGGCGGGATGATAAAGTGTCAAAAGAAACTTGGATGCCAAACTTTCCGTCACTAACCGCCCAGGCTGTAGGCACTCACAGATTTGTCCTGTGCGACTTGTGGCTTGTAGGTCGAGTTCTCGGACCCTCTTCACAATCTTATCATTCAGTACATCTTAGTTCTTGGGGTCATGAAACTTTGCTACATACATTTACTAGGAAGAAGATTGTGGCATATTCTCTGGCATAGGCCAGGTACGAAACATTTCGAAAGGCTGGGCAGAAATGATTAGAACTGCAGAGGTGAACAAGGGATAGCTAACCTTGACATCTGGAGCAAGATACTGAATCGGCAGTGAATATCTTCTAGCAATTTTGAAACTGCGTATCTTGGACTCGTGCGTCCACATGACCCCATGAATGCACTCCTTGATGTTTGGATCGCCTTTGATATCGAATAAAATCTGACCGTCATCGTCGCCAACAAGGGTGTCATCGCCAATTAAGGGATTACCCCCCACCGTTGCTTGGACTATGCCCAGTGCTGCTTTTACAACCTCCATTGCGAAAATACTACCAACTAATTGTTTCAAGATCTTCGCCTCGTTCGGTTTCGGGCCTCTTACTTTTACAACGTCCCCGTAGGCTGCTTTCTTTGAGAACGTGACTGTGAATTTCAGAGGCGCCTCTGTTGTCCCTTTGTGAACGTTGTTTCGAGTTTGAATTCCTTGAAAGGCAACCGATCCGCGGTCCGCCTTTACCTGCAAATAAAAAGTCCAGAACTCAATCTCAAGTCAAATGATTGCAGTCTTTACTCACTGGTTGAGGTGCTGCCCATATGACTGGAACAAGGCCGAGGAGGAGGGAGATGATTATTGAGATATGCATTATGAACTGCCGATAACAATAGGACCACTGATAGTGACGTTCGTGGTATTTCGATTGTAGGGGAGGGGGACGTTGCGGCTCGGGGCACGGGAGTCAATAATACGCAGGTAGAAGGCTGGGAGAGGGCGGCTTTGATCTTTGACCAGCAAAGGTTTAGCAAGGTTGTGCGAGAGGCTCCGAAGGGCTCAGTTTTGGACTTCCGATATAATTTATACCAGAATTCATACTAGCTCGGACCAATTTGATCAGTGATAACCAACTACTCCTCTTGAGAATTAACTTCCCTTTCAGGATAATCGCGTCCGTTAGAGTTCATCCCTCTTTGAATGGTTGCCTAAGTGGTGTATCACCTCCCATCGATTTCTTCATCTTGATTACCACCAGAATTAATGTTTAAAACCAGGTGTGGAATGAGGGTATTGTTTTAGAGGATTGGTTTCACGAAAAATAGGCAAGGTTCGCCGCCTCCTGAGTCACCCGCGCTTGCTTTGCTTATCGCCTCTGATCATCTGTTTCAGGTTGAGCCGACGGTTCCAGCTCGCGGGGGTTCACGTCTGGTTCACGTTCAAGCCCCCATCGAGTGCCTTGACTGTCATCTGTTTCATTGGGGCACTATTTTCCGATTCAATCTATATATCCCGTACATTTAGGGTAATGACCAGGTATAGATACTCAATGGCGCACTCAATGGCATCTTTCACAACAACTCAAGATCAAGGATTATCTGCCCAGTGAACTCTTGTCACCTTCCCGCCCATCTCCGCGGGATTATGCGACTCAGTCCCCAAGTCTTGAGGTAAGCTCTAAAAGACGAAGAATGCAGTTTATAAGGTGCGAACCCACCGTTGACTCAAAATATCAAACAAAAAGACATTACCTTGTGGAAAATTCTACCCTTACGAAGCCTGACAATCCGTTTTCCTTCTGGATTGAGTATACTTCCAGTAACCTTCATTTCGCCCTCATGATATATATATCCCACTCTGCCTTTACAATCCATCCATTCACCTTTATCGTCCCCCCCTTTCCCGACACTCATTAAAAACTCAACTTTGAAATCGTACTGTGCCCATGTCGGATCCGGCTTTCCGATGAATCCATAAACCAGCATCGCCTCCCTAAGCTCCGAGTCCGGCAAGTTGATACCCAGCTCGGTCATGGTTGCCTCCAAGAGTTTGCTGGTCCCTTCGATGGCACGTTTCTGTGCTTTTTTGGAGTAATACTCTTTCGAAGGACGGGTGGGGTTTGGAAAGTGGATGATAGCTACAGCCCTTTGCATTAATTTGGCAGTTTCAGTTGCAGAGACGTCAGACATTTGGATCATTTCATAGGTTTGGACCGAAGATTGTGCTCCGCCGCGAGGATCGAGCTTGGCACAGCAGAAATCGTTAACGGAGTATGTTGAACGCAGAGAAATGCGACGTTGCTGAATGTGTTTCATCACCCCAAATGAACACAAACGACAGACGGATCGGAATATACTCACTAAATCCAAGGTCGCAGGACTAGGCACTGCTGCTGCCAATATGGATGGTACAAGGGCAAAAGTGAATATCAAGTACAACATAGCAATCACGAAATTGTTGGTGGTCTGCACGACTCTGTGATGGTGGAGAAAATACATGTCGAGGGGTAAACTCTACATTAGATAAATTCATTGAGTAACGGAGAATAGGGAGTAAAATTCTGAAACGCACTTGTGAAGATTCCTACAGGAGTGTACGAGGGGAAAGTGTTGCCGACCAGCGGTTGCGGGGTTTATTGCCTGTCCTTCGGTCGGTCTTAAGTATTACTGAGCGATTGAGGCAAGAGATCGGATGAGGGTCTGTGGCTGGGTCGGATCAATCAGGAAGCGCATGGTATTCAGATCAGATGATTATCCATGTTAGATCCATATATTTGCTTCCTTCCTAGTACCATATGTTCAGTGTGGCTTAGCGTGGCTTCTAGTCTTCCCAAAATGGGCAGAATATTGTAAACACTAGATACGGATAAGTGATTGGGGGGAGGCAGAAGAGAAAGTAATTATATAAAAATCACCGCGAGCCGCTACAAGAAATACTGCAACCGTCAATGATCAAATCCAGTTCCCACAGGTGGAAGGAGCGGGAAGGTAGAGATTAAGCTGATAAGACGAGTAGCAAGAGAGGTAAAGATCATGCCGAAGAATTCCATTCACCCGCGAATACACAAATCCTACTACACCAGATGGGTGTCGGTGCTGGTGCTTCTACGGCGACTGAAGATCTGCCCATTGAACCTTCTTCCCGCCCATCTTTGTTGGCTTATGCGAGTCGCCCAATGATTCCTCTGGTAACGGGTTGGGCTAGGAGAAACACAAAACTTGAACAACTGGTAACCCTACCTTGAAATTGAAGGGGAAAAGGCATTACCTTCGGAACGAGGAAACCATGCGAATTCAGTGTGACAATTGGTTTTCCTTCAGGATCAACCACCCTTCCTGAAACAACCATCTTACCGTTATCATATGTATACCCCACCCTACCCTTGCACTCAATCCATTCCTCCGCAGAACCCCCCGTCAACTTATTATCACCTGAAAAGATCTGAACCACAAATGCATACTGGAAAGTTTTCAGATCCATCTTTCCAATATATCCATAAACCTGAAATGACCTCCTAGCATCCCCAGGTGGATTAGTCCTTAGTTCTTCAAATGTCGCTTTCAACAGCACGCCGATAGCTTTCATGGCATTTTTCTGGATATCTTCCGAGTGGTACAATGGTGTAGGGTTTGGGAAATGGATGATAGCTACATTCTTTCCCATTATTTTGGTTGTTGCAGGAGCATTGTGCCTTTTGATCTCTGGCAGATTACTGGTTGAAGAATGTGCAGTCCCACGAGAAGCAAGTTCGAAGTGAAGGGAATCATCGATATGGGATATCGAATACAACAAATTGCGACGTTGCTATGAGGACTTCGTCAGCCCGAACAAAAGAAGAGTTGAAGAACTCACTGAGCGCAAGGTACCAGGACCGGGAATTGCTGCTGCGAACACAAACGATACAAGGGCGAATGCAAATATCAAGTACGACGTGGCAATTGCAAAGTTGCTGCCATGTGTTGTTTTGCGAGATTGGTGGAGATACATATCGAACGCTAAAGCTTGAGTCTCGATTATTGAAAGTGAACTCTGCATAAAGTAGGTTCATGTAGTAGTGGAAGGGGTAGTAGGATCAGAAACGCACATTGAAAGATATCTGGAGGAATGAACGAAGGGAAAACGTTGCCGACCAGCGGTGGGGAATTTTTTGCTTCGCTTTGGATCAGTCCTATAAGATCCTATACTTAAATGGGTAGATAGGGTAGAGGGACTTTTGCCAAGTCGGAACCAACGCAACGATGCTGAGATGCCAATGGTTATCCACGTACACGAGGCCCTGAAACCCTGATTTTCTTCCTTCCCGTCCCCTGAATTGCTTCATTGCTTATCATCGACCATTGGAAATTCCCCCATATCCTGCTCTGAGCTGATCCCGTCAATTAACCTCACTCATTCTCGACATTGAAAGCCAGATTAAAAACTTCAAGCTTCAATATTGAATCTTTGACCATGACAGTGGAAAGGAGAAGAGGCCTATAGTACAGCGGTCTACTGCAGCCCCACGCCTTCTGGATAGTGTATCAGTTCGCAACTTGAAGCGTATCGACTCTCAACGCGAAGACAATAAGCGCCCTCTCTTATTTTTCGGACCGCGACACCGTAACACTTTCTTTACGCACCACAACGTTTGAAACCACTACGAACTTGCTTTGATTGTCAAGGTGACTAGCGACGCCGAGCAAAATAATTCAGACTACCTATACAATGAGTGAACACGAGCTATGTGTTGGGTCGAGACACAGGTTAAGTGATCATCTCAGTATGTAGTTTCTCTATTTCGAGTTTTTTCAAGTTCATCTTCACGTTCGCAACACCTTTATTCGTCCGGAATTTCGCCTAACTTCCACATTTTCAGCTTCATGATGGTCTAAGCACGATGCCCCCTGTGACGATTCTGGCGTGTGGTTACAAATGTTCCGGTCTCGACTGTCAATGCGTAACGCTCCATTGAAGCTCACTTCCCCGTTGTCCACTTCCTTAGATCCTTTTCTCCTAAGCTCCTCCAGATCTCTTGAAACTCTGGCACGAGAAAAAATTCGCGAAAAATTACAGAATGAATCACAATCCAGCTCAAGCGACTTTTTCCAAGACCTTTGTCTTGAGAAGCAGTCGTCCTTTAGACGCCTTGCTTAGCCCTTCTAGTTTGTGCTGGTTTGTTCACCGCTCTGTCTGGAACCGTCTGGACGTCTTCTACCGAAATGCTCTCCACCGTTCAAGCTCAAGCTTTACGTTCCAAGATTTTCCATACAGCGTACCCAAATAAAACCACCAGGCGACAAAATGAAAGCGACCTACATTTCCTTCGATCTCCTCTCGTTGCCGGAACCGTTCCGAGAAACGGCTGCATCCCTCGTTCCCCGTTCCTTCGGACCCGCCTCACCTCTACCAACCCTTCCTCGCGCCATCTATGGATGTTCGGTCTCGGGTAACGCTACTAATGGCTGAGGTGATGGAACGTATACTGCAATGATTCCATGACACGGTGGTGTGTAAATGCACCTTCAATGCTTGTCGTGGATCGTTTGAATTCCTTGTACATGGTCTATTCATCATGTACACGAATGTGAATATAAAAGCTCAGTGCTCAGCGTTTGTATGTTGCTTGATATGATGCTTACAAGTCAGCGAGTGCTTGAGGGGGGAAATCCCAAATTCGAAGGGGGAACACATATCATGCAGCAGTGACAAAGGCGGACAGATGCAGACACCCAATGAACGAGATTCTCAGAAGACCCCGTTTGTTTCCCTAATTGCTCTCGTCCGACTCTCGCATAACTCCTTTCTTTCAATCTCCCATCCTGGATATTCAAATACCTCATATGATCTTCGATGAATCATCTGTGTCCACCATCAACGTTCAATTTCCTGCTCTTTCCCTTGCTCTACTTCTATACTGTGACAATAGTACTTGACTAAGGCTCCTCAGACACGGGATCTGCCTATGTAACCTTCCTTTCTTCCTTGCTTTCTTGATCCTTTTCCCTTTTTGATCCAAATGGTACACACCTTTGGAATGTTCCCTCTAATGTTCAATGTAAATATGGTTCTCTTTCCGACTCGATCGCCCTTCTATGAACGGCCAATTTGTTCTTCTCATTGTCAAAATCCTCGAAGCTCGAAACCTGTTATGACTATCATCTACGCAGTCAACGCCGTCTAAACAAATCAAGACAGCCACTTACAAGTGGGTAGTGACAGGTCAGCTCCTCCATTATTTTACGGCTTTTGCTCTCATCACTATAATGACTACTCACCGATTTGGCCTATTGCTGCTCGGGTCGGATGGCTCAGACCGCTTACTAGGGAGATGTTACGCAAATAGCAATCCTTGTATGAGAATGTGCGACTGCTAACTCGTCGAGTTAATTCGGATCCTTACTCATACTTTAAGTCAATGGCGATAAACAGGGATAATCCAGTCAGAAAGAAGGACGGAAGTCACAGATCCGGACCCGCTGAGAGAACATGACATTTGTTATTGGGTTTTCGATCTTCGACATTCGCCCAAAATACGCAATCTGATTTTACATTCAATCCATCCGCGTCCTTTTCTCAAGTGTGTAACCCTCCCATGAGGTAAGGGATCCCCTCGAAGGACTGATACTCGTTTAAAAAGCAAGCAAAAATCCAGAGAAAACTGGAATTCTCCACTTTTCTCTGTTTCTCTTCTATATCCTCATGAATTCCTTCAACATTCAACTTGCACTTGCTGCCTTGGTCTTGATCACATTTTGGTGTTTCCTGCACAGGAAATTCAGGGTATTGGACAACATCTCTGGTCCACCCTCCCCTTCATGGTTCAAAGGTATGGGAACAGACACTTGCATGAGACAATCCTTCGCTCGACTACTAAACCCTTTTCCGGAGGTAACTATGAACAAGTCTTCAATCCTAATGCCTGGGGATTCCATGAGTTCCTTGCCAAGACATGTAAGTTGGTTCCATTATATAGGACTATGATTACGCTCTGATTCTTGAGTAGATGGTAGCATGACCCGCCTTCACGGCCCTTATGGTGTAAGGAATCGTCTACAACTCGAGGTAAGACCAAACTCAGGGATTCTCTTAGACAAATACCCTCTACACATTTGATCCCAAAGCGATGCACACTGTGCTGGTCAAAGTACGAGCATTTTAAACTCCATTCCCAGTTTTGAATTTGATTAATTTAACTCTCATCTGAAGGACCAGAATGTATTTGAAGAGGAGGATGGATTTATCAAGTCCGTTCTTAAAATCGAGTTGACTCTCAAACTAATTGATTCAAAACATGCAGAGGCAATCTTCTGATATTTGGAGAAGGGCTATTTAGTACATTGGGTATGTCATTGCCATTGAATATTCAGAAGCAGGAGTTTACTTGAATTTGATAAAACAAAGGGCACCGACATCGCAAACAGAGGAAGATTCTCAACCCTGCCTTCTCCGCTGCTCACATGCGAGAAATGAGTATGGATGTCTGCTTCTATCATTTGACGTAAAAATGAGATATGTTTCAAATAGTCCCGGTGTTTTTTGAGGTTGCCCACAAGGTAATTCATCTATGTTGCATAAGACCAATGTCTTGCTTGACACCTCCTTGAATACTCAGTTGGAAAGTGCACTGAAGAACCAATTACAAAATGGACCTGCTACCCAAGAGGTATGTATGAGTGCTATCTAGATTCAAGGGATCAAAATTGTTGAATTTTCATATATTCATAGGTCGAAATTCTTTCCTGGATGGGTCGTACTGCCTTGGAATTAATAGGACAAGCAGGTTTAGGCTATTCATTCGATCCCTTGACTGATGAAGATTCTGCCCATCCATATAGTCAGATTAGCAAGGAGCTATTGTATGTCAAGATGTTGGAACATTCTCTCTATTTCTCTCATATCTTCGGGGGGTCCCCAGTCCTACCCTGATTCGTTTACAGTTCTGGCAATTCAACATCCTTCCTTATGTATCTTGGATTGGTACTGCAGGTTTTCGTCGCCGTATCATCAAAATGTTGCCTTGGAAGGACCTACATCACATGCAAGACATGATTACCTATATGTACGGTGTTGCAGAAGAAATATACAGGATCAAGTTACATGCATTTGAAGCTGGTGATGAGGCGGTGGCCTTGCAGATTGGACGAGGAAATGATCTAATCAGTGTTCTCAGTGAGATTACTTCCATCATGCTGATACCTGATATTACATTCGAATTTTGGGATTCAAACCTTTCCAGTGAAGGAAAACATGAAAGCCTCTGAAGAAGATCGCTTGGGGGATGTTGAAGTTATTGCTCAGGTACCTGATATTCACCTTATATACTTACTACATTATCTGTGTCTGATTGTGGTCCACCCTCAACAGATGAAGTAAGAACTTGAAAACATTGGTTGTTTACAAACCAAAGTCTGACTGAGTGTTTCCAGTACCTTAATCTTTGCCGCCATGGACACGACTTCGGTAAACCTGACCATGCATTACCATTAACTTCTCTAGCATGTGTTGATTCTTCCTCTTAATATAGAGCGCTATGGCTCGGATTCTTCATCTTCTTTCTCAACACCCCGAGGCACAAGAAAGACTCCGTCAAGAGATCATTGAGGCCAAACATCTGAAAGATGGACACGATTTTTCCTACGAGGACTTGTCCAATTTGCCATATCTTGACGCGGTCTGTCGAGAGACACTTCGTTTGTGAGTCTTCATGTTTGAGAATGTGTTCAGTTTTTTGACTCTCGCATGATATTATTGACAAGATACACCCCCGTCACCACTGTTACTCGAAGGTGCGAGGACTTCATCTGGTTCATTTCAAGAACACATGCCTAATTTTTGATAGCACACGCCGAGATACAATGATTCCTCTTCTCAAACCTATCATTGGATTAGATGGTACTGAGATACACGAGGTGGCTGCTCCAAATGACACTAGAGTCATCGTGTCCATTTACAACTCAAACAGGAACCCGGATTTATGGGGTGAAGGTGAGGGTCTCTATTAATGAGATACGGGTTGAAACTGATGTGTTCTAGATGCTAATGAGTGGAAGCCAGAAAGATGGCTTTCTCCATTACCGAAGGCCCTCGTTGAGGCACACATTCCAGGAGTATATTCCCATTTGTAAGTTCGAACTCACATAAATGAAGCATTGTCTTATAAGTTCTGCTGCGTCCGATTTTTAGGATGACCTTTCTTGGTGGTGGACGCTCCTGCATGTATGTACCCTCAGTCCTAGACATATAGGAAACTTAATGCAGTTACTATTGGTAGTGGCTTCAAATTCTCACAGTTGGAAATGAGTGAGTTCCCTCGAATTGAAGAATCGTGGTCAAATCACTCACATTGTTAACAGAAGTTGTCATATCCATCTTGGTGGAAAAATTCCGCTTCTCCCGTTTGTCCAAAGATTCCGAAATCCTCTGGCAGATGAACACCATAACAGCCCCCATTATTGGAAAAGCCAATCATCCACAACTTCCCATGAACATCAGTCTGGTGAACTGATGGTATAGGAAACAGTACATGTACTACTATGCTTTTGTTAACTTTTTTCCATCTTGTAGAGAGCCTGATATTGTCCTTTCAATTTTCAAATGCTTTTTTGAATCATCTTTAAACCATGTCATACACATAAGTATCCCAAACCAGATGAATATCACTTGATTGTTCAAAGAGGCTAAGGACCCTCCCTTCAAAGCAGGAAGAAGGCCTATCAGATATAAGTGAATTACTCCCTGTGGATGCTTTGGAAATGATGTTGGATGGAAGGACGAGGGCGAAAAGTAACTGAAAATATCGACAAGGGAGGGTCACAGGAACAGTTATGATATCCTACAACTTAGATAGATCCCAGTCATTATTCTTCAATTTTACATTCTGGACACACGAGACCTCAGAAAGCTGTTGGATCTTACATGTCAAGGGACTACGGAAGTTCAATCTGCTGTGCGACTTACTATAAGTAGTACAGTGTACACCATAAAGTCAAAACAATTTGTCATTCTCTCGAAAAACAGCCTACAGAGGAACTTAATTGTCTGTGATGTCCACAGATTCAGGATCTGCCCATTGAACCTTTTTCCCTGCACCCTTTTGTTTCTGTCCTCCATCTTTTGCTTCATCACTCACTCCTGGTTCATCATCATTCAATGGGCCAGGGCGTTTCTACAGGAGAGGACAAAACAACGGTGTGATCAGTATTATGAAAACTGAATCCTATATAAGCAAGAGAAAAGAATAAGGTGAGACACACCTTTGGAACGATTTTTCCCTTGTGATTCAAAGTAACAATTGGTTCTCCTTTTGAATCAATCACCTTTCCGTAAAATACCAACTTATCAGCCTCCTTGACTTCCTTCTCTCCGACTTCCTTCTTCTCCACGTTTTTGTCCTTGAGTCTCATCTTCAGAAATCCAGTAAATTCTATCAATTTATCCAGACCCCCACCACCATCTTCTTTCTTTAAAAACCAGACCTTGAACCGGTCTTCAATTGACCGTGGCTTCGAAACAAACCCTGAGTAGTTAATGCTGAATGAAGGCTTTATATCAATCCCCAAAGCCTCCATCGCTGCTTTTACCAAAAGAAGGCTTCCTCTCTGGACGTTCGCCTGTAAACTGAGTGATACAATCGGCGGACGATTCTTTTCTGGGTATTGAAACACAATATCGATCTTTTGCGCTTTTATTGCGTTCATGATGTCTGTTTTGGTCATTTTCGACCAGTCATGCGTGTTTTCAGCCGTCGAGGAGGAGGCGATGGGATTTTGTGCTTCGGAATGATGGGAATCGTCGGCGCGAGATTTATGTTGTTGAGGATAACTCGTCACCTGGGTTGGGTATGCGAATCAAAAGAAAGAAGAAAGTATGTGCTACTTACTGAATCTGACTGAGGACTCGAAGTAGGAACGGCTGCTGCGAACGCAGCTGATACGAGGGCAATCATGAATAGGAAGTACACCGCTGCGAGGCTGATATTGGATCTGCGGTGATATCGAGAACGCATCGTGTTGTCTTGAATGAAGTGGGTGCAAGTGTCTATTTCATGTTCAGATTAGCAGTAATACAAAAGATAACATTAAACGCACCTTAGAAATGCCTTGAGGGAAGTGCCGACCAGCGGTTAAGGATTTTTGTCCTTTTTTCGCTCCGCCTTTTATAACCTCCGGGACTCTCCGGGACTGGATCGTATCAGCGCATAAAAAGCGCATCAACCCCCTGCCATTTGATCGGTCTTGTGTAACCAGATGTATACTCCCGACGGCAGCCGATGAGCTCGACAGCTTCTCTCCTCCCATTTTCCATTAAGGTTCTGAGTATCTTCGTTGTTTGTCTAGTAGAATCTGGTTCGACGCTCGAATGAGCAATATGAAGACATTTGTTTGGACATGACAAGATAAATAAAATGAAATTGCATGGTGTAAGAATCTACTACCTTAATTCTGTGAAATTGACAACAGCTCACCTTCTTGTTTCCAAGCACTTCCAGTTGATTACAACTTGACTTACATACAAGGAAATGATGTTGCAGCAATAAGTTTTTGGCCAGGCAATATGGTATGGTGGTGAGGAGTATATGGACTGTGCATGCAATCCGAGTGTAACAGTGAAAATCAGTATACTCATAAAGTTCTTATAGAAGGCCACATCAACTTCAAATATACTAGTAGTACATAATTTCTTTAACTCCTGCTTGACTGACATCAATGAAGCCTGTTGTTTTATCTTTGTGGAAGTAGTCACGTCTCTCCTAGAAGTATTCAGCAATATCTTGTTAATTATCCAAAAAAGGAAACTTTTGGTTGCTGGAGGAGTTCTGCGTGGCCCTTTCCATGCTATAAACATGGACTTTGACTAAAACCTGAAAACACCTGAGTCTGCAGCTGCTTAGACACCCAGAGCAACCTAAATATACTGGATGTCTAAGTAGCTGGAAACTTCTCTCAGCTTCTCCCAGAGAATTAGTTGAAAATCCATGTTTTGCAAATATATGAGGTCTGTCCTGGGGGCACTGGGATTTCAAGCCTTAGCCTATGCCTTCACATATCATCCATATCTTGCTAATGAATGGAAATATATGATTGAAAGGTACACCCTACAGTTAGCATATTTAAATATGTAAGTATCACAGTTGATAAAATCCAAACCAATTATCAATTTGATCATTGATTGTATTGAGTATAAAAAATCTCAAGATCGCCTGCACTAAAAATGTTCTACACTAACTTATGTAAGTGCATAGCAGTACAGATCAATGTTCTACTTGTGTCTGATGATGTTGACCGATAAACTCAATTGCTTTTACCCACTGTGATGAAACTTGTGTAAGAACAGGAAAAAATTGAAGGTCAAATTTTCAGTCACCTTTGTCCAAAATCTATCATCTATGAAGCCTTCAACTCTTGGAGTATATATTTGTTGCCGATCATCTTGTTTCCTAAGATATGCCAAGTGATTGGTAATGTAAACTTGCATTTTCTTTTCACCAAGTTGTTGATCTATGAAATCCTGCTCCTGACAACCTTGTTGGACCCAATCCAGCACAGCCTGCAGCCAAATCTGGCATTTATTCCAAACTGCCTTGCTAGGACATAGTTTCATAAGCTCTAACAATGATTTGCTATCTAGTTGAAATGAATGCAATTTAGTGGTGAAGATGAGAGACACCACCGCATAGTGCAAATTTGATGGTTTGTATAAGTAGTTTATGCAAAGCTCCCTCATGAATGTGTCTAATTTAATACTCAAGGAATTCGAAGCAAGACTGGAAAGAAGGCAGAGAATCACTGAGTACTTATTATCTCCTCCTTGCTCTGTACTTGCATCATGATTCCACAGTGACTGTTGATCCAAGCAATCAAAGATTACAACAAGTTGCAGAGCAGTCTCACTACCCTGCATTATTGCTAGTGCAAGAATTTCATAAATGAGGCAGTATAGTTTATTCATCTCTGGATTGTAGTTAACAACTTTGAGTTGACTTGGCTGCTTGGGCAAGGATCTCAACATATGTTTAATTGAAGGTTGAAGTGAATCAAATGTCCTGATAACAAGAGGGTAATGGCCAGATAGAGGCCTTGTCCTCAGATACATTTCAAGTGCTATTTTGTAATGTGCAATGATGTGTACTCTGATGGACTCTTGATGAGTGTGTACATATGATAAATCTGTTTTTTCAATGATCTGCATGGTGAATATGGACAGAAAGTATCTCATGATTGGCCACTGTTCCCCACTTGAGAGGCGATTGAAGGAGTGATGATAAAACTCATCCTGGAATTGTTGCAATATATAATACATGATTTTCTCATATGCTTGGGTTCTGCCTGTTTGATGCTGACCAGTGGAGAGGGAAGCTGGCTTTGAGGCACTGACAAAACCCCACAAAAATTCAAGTGTTGAAATCAATGCATGGACATGGGTTCCGGCACCACCCTCAACCAGATGTGCTTTGCCAATTCTCCTGAGGATCCTCTCACAGAATTCATCCCGCATGAATTTTTGGATGGTAATGTTCATTGTGTCAGGCAATGCAATTTGGCGATTCTCACTCCGACCCCATAAAGCCCGAAAAATCACTCGGAATATGTGGATATCACTATAAATAAGAGTGATGTCCGAGTAGAATGCATTTTGAACTATGGTAGTCCAGATCACAGGATGTAGATTTTCAGTGTGAAAGGTGAGAATGAATTCAATATATGATTTGTGCGGGGTGGATGCTCCGGAACTAGCAAGAGCAGTTGCCAAAGACAACAGGTTAGATGCCGAGCCACTGTAAAGATCAATAGACTGTGGAACAAAAACAGGGATCTGTAGCACCAAGAATGCTCTACAAAATCTTTCTAACCTTGGCTCAAGCCCAAGTTGAAGTTTAGCTATGTTATCCTTCTGGGATATCAAGCTCTGGAACAATGTTTGATCAAGACTCATTCTCCATTGCTCAAAATCTGCAATTCCACTGTTCAAAAATAAATTCTGAATATTGCCATGTTTGAAGTTGACCAAAAGTCCACCAAAAGCTTGAATGATTATATTGTGAACAGACAGATTGGTGGACACTTTATGCAGATGATGAAGTCCCCCAAGTGACAAACTGTGATAAGCTTGTTTCACTGCTTCTTTTTCCAGATCTTTCAATGAGGACTTGAGTGTGATTGGACCTTTCACTGTGGGGGATGAACCATAATCCATGAACATGAGTATAGTTTGGATATATCTTTGTAGCCATGTGTGAAAGGCAAGGATCAAGTCAGAAACTGGTGTTTGGTATGGGCATTGTGGATAGATGATGGGCAGAGTGTTTGTGATTAGGTATAGGGTGTACAGAATGCCTGTGATAACACCTATAACACATGAAAGACCTCTCTGTAATGGAGCAAGGAAGAGGACAAGGCCCACAAGGAAGAAGGCAAGGGAAATGTGCATGATCACAGGTAACACCCCAATGATGTTGAGTACTTGCCATTTCTCAAATCCTGTATAGCGGAACTGGCGTGTATGACTCCTGTCCCTTGGGGTTCCAGAATGCACCGCGAGATAACGGTGAAGCCATTGTTTCACCAGGACTGTAGCGAGAGCCACCGAGAGGCTGAGTGACAGGCTAATTCCCCATAGGCCATTGGTCCAAACATTGAAATTATCTGGCTTGACCGTTGTTGTTGGATTCAATAGGGACGTAGGAACAACGGTTATGGAGGTGCCGACTGCCACTGCACGTTGAATTTGAACAAGCTCAAATATCAAGGATGCAGTCACTTCGGTATAGTTTACCTGGAGGTTTTGCGTTGCTTGAACCAGAAGAGTCGACACAACAGCGGAGAAAAGACCGGCCTGCACACACACATGGGTAAGTTCAGAGAGATTTCGTGTGCTATTCACATACAAAAACCAGCATCGAATCCAGCCCATCCCGAGCTTCTCCAATCATATTTTCATCGAGCGAACTAGTCTCCGCCAGGTATGTTTTCCAGACTCGTGCATTTGGTCCCAATTCCTCGTACATTGCATCCGAAGGAAACCTCTGCTCATAGTCACCATCGAAGTCTGCATTCAGAAATAAATTGATGGTCAGGGCATTTTGAAAATCATCTCCCAAATGGTGTTCACATACCAAAGTTCATGAAATACCCCTTCGGATTCAATCCAAACAAATGGCGATTGGTTGCAGTCGGTCCTCTGTGAGCATCCGGGTTGGTCAACGAAGTTTGATTCTGCATATTCAATAGTATATGAGCGAGAGATCTGGGGACGAAGTGGGGATATTCTCAAGGAAGAGAACTCCTTTTCAATCAAAAACAGAAGATTGTTCTTCCTGACACGTGTAACTTGGAGGGGACCCACATAACGCCCACATATGTAGCCGTGGGTGCATTTTCTGATTCGACCTGATGTTGATGTGCTCTCAGTAGGATTTCAGGTAGCTGTATAACTTGATGCCTCCCCGTACACTTTTGTAAATGGCGCGCTTCGAGCTCAATGAAAATTAGCTTTCAGGAATAAGCAAGCAGTATACGGAGGTATGTTTAAGGTTACCTGTGATAAGTGAGCGTCTGAACTACAATAGATGCCGACACGTAATGTGTGGCGCCACTTCATTTCGCTTTGACCATCCGGGAGCGCATGCGAGTCATGATTACTCAAACAATAAAAAAGCATTGTTAATCTCCTTCTACCATCATCTTCAGCACGTTGTGCTATCGAAAACTCAGGATCGCAAAGCCCTACAACGACCATGACCGTACCTGTACCGGTGTGTTTCCTACGCAAGCAGCATCATTGCCCTATGTATGTCCACTAATGAGTGAAACCGTGATAGGAGATGGATGCTACGAAATCAAGGCTAACGATGAAGAAGATTATTAGAATCATAGGTCCAAAGGAGTTGGATGAAGGAGTAAGATGTCGGATGAAGCATGTTATCAAGATACCGAGACTCAATACTATCGCCGAGGTTAAACCTCCTACCAGCAGCCACAGAAATAACAGAAATAATGTATCGACTCCATACACAACCAAAGGACTTGTAATCGTCATACCACCGGCTAGGAACACCAAACGCGGTCGTGTTTCAGGAAAGGAGGACGAAGAGGATGATGCGTCGGTGGCGGTCGAGAGACCATCCTCGAAACGCGCTCGAAAATCCGAGGATTCGAAAGATGAGGTGTGTATCATCACCTTCATGCCGAACTCAAGTCTGATAATATTTTTGTTACATTCAGTCTGACGAGAATTCACTCATTACCACCTTGACACATGCACCCGTGAGGACACACCGTAAGACCAAGTCCAAGGTAAGCCTCGTCCCTTCGTTTAGTACATCATTCTCACCTCTTGAATAAAGCGGATCTCCGAACGAATGAGCATCACACCGTTAACGGTGGCTAGCTGTTCTTACAGCGGCCAATTCAACCTTTACGCTATGGACCATCAAGACCTATGCCTGATCTATAGACCCGAGGGCTCTAGGGAGCCACAATACGAAGAACTTTACAAAGCTCTCCGGTCAAATGACCACATCCAGGAGCTCACAGCCCATGTGTCCCTCCCGACTATACCCTATGGCCGTAAATACGGCTCAGCTCTCACCCCTGCTCTCTGCGACCCAATCTCCGAAAGACCATACAACATCGAGCTGACGCGAATCTCCCGTGTAAACCAGGTGTTTTACAGGGAGCACGAAAAAGAATGTTTCGTGACACGGTACAACTCGGACGTATCACGCGCAGGGAAGATGCCAGGTGTGAGCGGGAAGACGGGCGTGGCGGCTGCAGGGGCTGGAGATAATGGGGTGCTGGAATCCTCAGGAGACTTTAATTTGAGCCGCGTTTGGGTAAAAAGAGATACGGAGGGGAGACTGATGGAGATTTTTGAGGGATATATGTCGCTGAGAGTCCGGTATTGTAAAGAGTATGAGCGGAAGGGATACGGAGAAGGCTTCAATGTCGGGTTCGCATTTTGGGCGCTGAGGACAAGTCATACAGGATAATACCTCCCTCCACCACTCCTCCAGTCACATATCATACATACCCCACCAAAACTCAAAATGCTCTATTCGTCTTCGAGACCGACCTCTCCTTATCCTTCCTCAATTTCTCGATATAAATGAACGTGATAAGAATAGTGTCGATCATATCGACACCAGAAGGAAGTATTTCCAGATATCCAGGAGGCGTATTCCACAAGATGAACTTTCGACGGTGGAATCGCGCTACGGGGGTGTTGGACCCGTCGTTGAGGATGAGCTGTCGATTATGATCATCTCATGAGATATCGATTCGAAAACCACTCGATTGGTCTTGCTCACCTCGGGAGTATAGAAGCCCAAAACCCACTTGTATTCCTTCCCATCTGGACCTGTAAAGACTCTGTGTCTACAATTGCTCAAATCAGATGTCTCACCGTCCATTCTTGGCATGAGATCCACATACCTTCCCCAAAAACCCCAAGATTCTTTCTGAAAGTACCGATCAGCTTTTTGTTCCGGGCCTTTCCCAAACGTGATCATCGAGCTCTTGAACAAAGCCCATCCAATCTTCCCAACTTCAATCATCCGATCTTCCTCGACTTCGACGACTGTCTCCTCCACGTTTTCCGTTGTCGAAAGACTTTGCTTATCCGCAACCACAGGTGCCTCATCTAGATTGATGCTGGTGCGGTCACTGTCTGTCAATATCCTGTCCTGATCAGCACCATCGTCGCAGTATTCAGCCTGTATGAGCGAGTCCGATGCTAAAATAGCTTCAAAATCCCCGGACTTGAGGATCGTAGTAATCCGACCAAGACCCGTAAGGGTAATTGGTGTACGTACAACGTATTGGACCTTGCCCTTACTATCTTTGTAGGTGTTGTTGAGAATGGGGTCGAGACCGCCTACAGTAGGATAGAGGTGGATGCTAGACATCGTATTGTTTTGAATCAGGTGTCGAGTTTTGCGAATATATAGACTGAGCTCCGTATTACATACTAGTTGTGGAGGTGTCGTGGCCGCAGTAGGCAATATCAGCTGTCATTCGAAGGGCCTTCGAAAGGGGCCATGAGGGGCCATTAGCATTTGCCGTAACCATGCACGGACTTCTGCGCGGAACATGTGTGTGACTTGCGCGGAACATGCACGGATCACATACCCAGCAAAGCATAAAAAGTATAACTTCAATAAATACTCTTTGAAGAACTTACACTGTGGGGAAGAGGGCGTTTTGGTGCCTCCAAAATCCGTCCATTATCAGTAGATTTTTACCAAAGATTGACCGATTTTGGGACGTCGAAAAGTTCGTATAATTCTCAGATAGTTGACTATGGAATATAAAGTTCATATTATGCAGTTATTTTAAGTATTCTACCAATAATATTGAGGATATGATAATGACTTTCTGCCTCGCGATTCATTGATATTTTCGGCTGCCAAAAATTTGGAATAATCATAACATAACCTGCCAGCGAACATGAGGATCATATTCCTAGCTTATTTAAAATAATCGTACAATATTGTGCCATAGGTTATATAAAACTTTCACAAAATATTCACCTCATGAAAAACATGATGTTGTTCAAAATAACCTCGCCGAGGTTATGCATACCCGATGTTGGGACATCGAGACATCGGGACGTCGTCGATATTGAGACATCGAGACACCGGAACGTCGTCGATATCGAGATGTCCGAACGTCGAAACGTCGCTGATGTCGGGATATCGAGAGGCATGACATTCAGGACCTGTCGGAGCGTACCAGGTTTAACCTAGCATTCAATTAGTATTGACCAACACGAGCTAGGTGGGATTGACATAGCTTCTACCCGTCCGTAACATGCACAGAAAGCCCTGGGGGAGGCTTTTCTTGTCATTTACCAGAACATTCTCGATATCCCGACATCAGCAACGTTTCGACGTTCGGACATCTTGATATCGACGACGTTCCGGTGTCTCGATGTCTCGATATCGACGACGTCCCGACGTCTCGATGTCCCAACATCGGGTATGCATAACCTCGGCGAGGTTATTTTGAACAACCTCATGTTTTTCGTGAGGTGAAAATTTCGTGAAAATTTTATATAACCTATGGCACAATATTGTACGATTATTTTAAATAAGCTAGGAATATGATCCTCATGTTCGCTGGCAGGTTATGTTATGATTATTCCAAATTTTTGGCAGCCGAAAATATCAATGAATCGCGAGGCAGAAAGTCATTATCATATCCTCAATATTATTGGTAGAATACTTAAAATAACTGCATAATATGAACTTTATATTCTATAGTCAACTATCTGAGAATTATACAAACTTTTTGACGTCCCAAAATCAGTCAATTTTTGGTAAAAATCTACGGATAATGGACGGATTTTGGAGGCGCCAAAACGCCCTCTTCCCCACAGTGTTACTGATATCAATTCCATTTTAACAAATCATTGAGTCCTAGTCAATATCATGAATTATATGCAATGCCAGCTCTAGATGCATTGTACTTTTACCTACTTTACTCTGACCATCTTATACTTTTGATGAGCAGTATTTTTGTTAGTGTAAGGTTAAGCTCAGTTGGTATGAAAACAACTGGTATTTGTAGCTACCTGTTAGCGTAAGGTTAAGCTATGTATTTGGTTAGTGTATGATACATGCGTGTTCAGATAGTCCGAGAGCACACCTCAGTTGGTATGAAAACAACTGAGGGGGCTCGGGAGTTTCTGTCGTGTGTAATATCCTAGGTACTGTATAGTTTATGGTAAGCAACGGCATATATGTGTAACGGGGTCTTGGGTCGAGTCGGGCTATACGTATCGTGTACGGAGTTGGTCCAACACCCCCCCTACTCCATACGATCAATACCGAGAATCGAGACTAGTTTGGAGTGAACCGTACCATTGAGGGGCTTGGTGAATAAGTCCGCAACGTTCTCCCCCAACCGTATCCTCTGCACCTGCACTTCCCCACTTGCGACCTTCTCCCTAATGTAGTGGTGCCGCATCTCAATGTGTTTGACGAGTGCATGACATTTGAGTTCTCTGTCAGACACACCGAGCCAAAGTTGTCCCCCAGCAGCTCAATAGCTCCCTCCTGCTCCAGGTCCACCTCAGCCAGGAAGGACTTGATCCATACAGCCTGTTGTGCCGCTCAAGACAGCCCGATATATTCCGATTCCGTGGTTGATAGCGCTACAGTGGCCTGTCGTTTGGAACTCCAGGATACAGCTGCTCCCGCCATAACGAAAACATGTCCCGATGTTGACCTGTATGTATCATGACAGCCAGCGTGGTCTGAGTCGACGTAGGCGTATGTTTTGAGGCCAGCCCCTGGTGGTGGCTTCAGTTGTGTAGGGGCTCGGTACGTGATAGCGTAATGTAGTGTCTGCAAAATGTACCCTGCTACCCACTTGACACATTCCCAATGTTGTCTCCCTGGGTTCAGTTGGTATCTCGCTAGGAGGCCTGCTGTAAATGCGAGGTCGGGCCTTGTACATACCTGCCCCCACATGATGCATCCCACTACAGAACGATACAGTTTGTCTTTCATATACGTCACTTCATCCTCTGGTAGTGGTGATGGTGATTTGAGGAGCTTGATATTTGGTGGGAGATGTCATGCCCTGTCCCTAAAAGCTCCCCTCGTTACCCTCCTAGACATCCCAGAACCGCGTATCAGCTCCTTCACACCTCCCAAATAACCTCCCATGGAACCCCCATGAACCACGGAACCCTAGCCAACCTCCCGACCAATGCTAACCTCCATCTGAAGCGACAGCTCCACGACTCGCGTATGCCGCCGGACAATCCCCTATCAATTTAGCCTCATGGGTTCCGCACTTCACCCCAGCCCCATTAGATGCTCATTTATTACAATGTCCCATTACCTATTCATCCCACCTATATAAGTATCCTCTGTAACATAAGCGTCCCCAGCTTGGTATATTTTGAACACACACCCTTTAACATAGGTCCAGTCCCTGTCCCTTTGTACCTGCTACCTATACGGAATTCTCTTTACTCTCTATTTCTTTATCTCTGTTTCTCTCAACTCTGTCTATCATCTCTACAATTGTTTATACGATCCAATACATGCTTTAACTTCATGTCTAAGCAACCCGAGTGAGTCTCCGAGCTCCCTCAAACAATACTAAAGCTCCCCAATGCCTACTGCCTTGGTGAGCTAACCTCCCCAACGCCTACCGCCTTGGTGAGCTAACCTCCCCAACGCCTACCGCCTTGGTGAGCTAACCTCCCCAACGCCTACCGCCTTGGTGAGCTAACCTCCCCAAAACCTCCTTGAGCTCCCCAATTGCTCCATAAGCTCTGGGACCTCAGTCTAGGTAACGTCAAAGCTACCTCCTACGTCGAACTACTTGCCGCTTCTCCATTACCACCCCCAACGCTCGAGGACGTCCACCTCCAACCCCCAGTTCCCGGGACCTCCCCTTCCGGGTGTATACCTTCTCAGGAGCTCATACACTCAAGACCTATTCTCCATATGAACCATTCAATCTCACGTTGATGTTCTAGCGAGTACAACTCCTCCTACGCAACGCTACTAGGTTTTGTACCTCCACCTCCTCTATTTTACGCCTTAGGGACCTCCCTGGACCTTACAGGAACCCCTTCAAGGGTCACATCTCTCAATCCCAGCCACTACTAGGTCATTCCCGTCCTCAGTCGCGGTTTCCGTAGCTCCCTTCGAGCTCCAGCCTGCTCCTAGCACGCTACAACGTAAACTTCTCATACCAAACCTATCTGTCACGAAGCGGCAGAGGCGGAGTGACTAACGGAGCGGGAAAGCGGAGCGACTAAGCAGAACGGTGAGGCGGAGCAACTGGACAAGGCAACAAGGCGGAGCGACTAAGCAGAATGGCGGCAGGCTGGTCCCAGATAATGACAGAGATATATTGAGTATCGTAGTCATAGGTAATAATAAGTAAGCACATACCTGGTCCCAGATAATGACAGAGAGGTCAAGATAAGGGACCAGGCTGTGGAGGGTTGGCTATATATACATAATCCGGTCTGCGAGAAACAACGATGTAATACTGTACAGTTTAGGAACAAGGAAGGTGGCGGAAGCCAATAGAAGGAGAAGATGGGTCAGGTGGATCAGTAATCGATGGATCAGTAATCGATGGGGGTTTGACAGTGATGGGATGATGTATCGTACAAGTAAAGGCGTCGAGACGGTGAGAAAAGGAAAATGATAGGGGCTGCGTACTTTATGACATTACCCCCCTCCTTATGACCATTGCCCTCGATGGTCAAGGCTTTGCCGCTGTTGGGTGTTTTTTATGAAAGGCCCGAACAATTTTTGGTGCTCGACTGAGGTTGGCTGCGGGTTCCCAAGAGTTGTGCCCTGCGTCGTAACCTTTCCACTTAACCAAATATTCCAACTTCTTCCATCGAACCCGGCTGTCTAAGATCTCCTCTACTTCGTATTCTGGTTCGTCTTCATCCTCTAAGTATACCGGCTCTGGTGGTGTTGGTATTTCGCCATTAATGGAGTTACCTTTCCAGGGGTATAGTTTATCAACATGGAAGACGGGATGGAGGCGATCTAGGGATAGGGGAAGGTCAAGGCGGTAGTCTAAAGGGCCAATTTTCTCCAGAATGCGATAAGGGCCAAGCTGTCGATCTCCTAACTTTTCACTGGAAAGCTGAAGGTTAATGTCCTCTGCACTGAGCCAGACTAGGTCTCCAACTTTAAATTGATGAGCTTTCCGCTTCCCGCGTTCGTATCCCTCCTTCTGTTGTTTCTTTCCTAGGTGTAAGGCAGCTCCGGCATCTTGTCGCGCTTCTCGGAGAATCCGTATACGGTCATCCACAGCTGGAATACCGCTGCGTTGGCCCACTGGGATATTGAACAGGGGAAGATAGCCGTAGGTTAGCTCGAACGGGGACATGCCTAGCGCAGAATGAGTCCGTGAGTTAATCACAAACTCCGCCATGGGAAGGTGCTCTGCCCAGTCGTCTTGTCGTCGTCCTACATAGAGACGGATGTATTTCTCTACTTCCTGATTTGCTCGTTCGGTTTGGCCATTAGACTGAGGACGGTATCCGGAGGTTAGATCTGATTTAATTCCTAGCCTAACGAGAAGGGATCACATGAGTTTAGCTGCAAACTGGGGTCCGCGGTCGGATTTAAAGTGAAGAGGAAGACCATGGAGACGGAAGATCTCTCGGTAGTAAATATTGGCAACGCCTTCGGCTGTGATGGAGCTGGTGCAAGGAATAGCGTGAATTTGTTTTCCATACAGGTCTGTGCAAACCAAGACAGCATCGTAGCCTTGGGAGTTAGGTAGCTGTGTTATCAGGTCAACCCCTACCTCTTCCCATAGACCGGATGGTACATCTAATGGTTGAGTTACGGCCCGTGGGTGTCGCTGGATCTTCTTACGGGCACAAACCTCGCATCCATCAACGTATTTTTCCACAAAAGAGCGCAACGTAGGCCACCAGAAATGGGTACTGACCAAGTCGAGCGTCCCGTGTAGTCCGGGGTGTCCTGCAGTTGGATGGTCGTGGCATTGACGGAGTACCTCAGTGCGTAGGTCGTCGTTTGCTGGTACGTATACTCGACCTCGGTAGTAGACCAACCCATTGTCTTCTTCCCATTCGGCTATCCCATTGGCCAAGCGCTGTAGTCCGTGCTCTTTGACTGTTTTGAGACCCTCCAATACCTGTGCTTCCCGTTCTGAGGCTTTCCGGATACGATCCTCTAAGGGGTTCTGTAGGATCGAAGCTGCAATTTTTACGAAGTGGCCAGGTTTAAGGACTGTCTGTTGTCGGTTATCATCGCTGTCCGATACATGATGAACTGCCATGCGGGAGAGAGCATCAGCTTGGGTGTTTACTCTGCCAGGGCGGTGGATCATATGAAAGTCAAACCGTGACAGATAGAGGGCCCATCGGGCTTGTCGACGGGTGAGGTCTTGTGCAGTGCGCCAGAATTCGAGGTTCGAATGGTCCGTAATGATGTCGAATGGTTGAGGGAGTCCTTCTAGAAAGTTCCTCCAATCCTTCAGTGCTTCAATGATAGCAAGCATTTCTCGATCGTAGATTTCGTAGTTCCGTTCCGCTGGCTGCATGGATGCCGATCTGAAGGCTACCGGATGCCATTGGCCATCGTCTTGCTTCTGCATAAGGGCACCTCCCGTGGCAAAGCCTGATGCGTCTACCTCGATTCGAGTAGGCCTGTCTGGTGTCCATAGAGCAAGGATCGGTGCGGAGATGAAGGCTTCTCGAAGGGTATCAAATGCTTTCTGTCGAGTGTCGGTCCAGGTAAAGCTGGTGTCTTTCTTTGTCAGGTCGTTCAGAGGTCGTGCTATTTTGGCAAAATTCCGGATAAAGCGTCGGTAGAAGTTTGCAAATCCCAAGAACCCTCGTAGTTCCCGAAGGTTAGTAGGGACTGGCCAGTCACGAACAGCCGCTACTTTTACCGGATCCATTCTCACCTCCCCTTCTGAGATGATGAGTCCGAGGTATTCAATCTGTTGTTGTTCAAATTCGCATTTTTCGGGTCGTAGGTAGAGGTCGTGCTTTTCTAACCGGGTTAATACTTCCCGTACCATTCGTCGGTGTTCCTTGAGATCGTTACTGAAGATAAGGATGTCATCTAGGTAGACTGCCACCTTGCCGGCTGCAATGAGATCAGCAAATATAGCATTCATAAGTGCTTGGAACGTGGCAGGGGAATTTGTGAGACCAAAGAACATGACCTTAGGCTCGAACAAGCCTCGGGTTGTTGCGAACGCGCCTTTCCATTCATGCCCCTTCTTAATCCGTATGTTATTGTAACCCCAGCGGACATCAAACTTCGTGAAGTATCTGGCTCCCTGAAGTCGGCTAATGATGTCAGCAACTAATGGGAGAGGGTATCGGTTCTTCACAGTGTACTCGTTCAGTTTCCGGTAGTCTTGTACGAAACGGAGTTTCCCATCCTTCTTCTTTACGAAGAAGACCGGTGATGAGATTGGTGATTTTGAGGGGACGATATAGCCTTTCCGTAGGTTTTCTTCTAGGAAACGATCCAACTCCTCCTGCTCGTTTAGGGACATGGGATAAATCTTGGTACGCATGGTTGCCGGTGCTCCAGGTACGAGATCAATCGCATGGTCCCAAGGTTGGTGGGCAGGTAATCGTTCGGAGGCGGATTCTGAGAAAACCTTCTTGAAATCACGATACTGCTCAGGGACCATTTCTTCGAAGGTTTTAACGGGTTTGTCTCGGTTGGCTTCCTCTCCTAGCTGCTGGGAGTAAGTGAATCCTGCGGCGCACCAGACTTCCTCCGTCTGTTCCTCTAGAATTCCTGCTTTTACCCATGCCCGGCGAGTTTTATGATTGGCTCGAATTCGGTGTATTGGTGGTTCTTCCACCGCTGCTGATTCACTTGGTTCAAGGGTCGCTTCTAGTGGCACCTCAATGTGGGGGTTTTCTGCGGGAGGTTCCAGTTCCGGGAGTTCGAGGATCGGGGTTTCTGTGTGAGTGGCGGCTAGATGAGAGTACAAGATCTCCTCGTCTGGGACTTCTTCTATCGTTACTCGAGGAGGCTTTACTGAAAGTCGTCCTTTCTCCCAATCAATCTCCGGATTTACCTTCCGTAGCCAGGGGAGTCCAAGGATGATGTCTTCACCTCCTAGGTTGGTGATCAGAAAGTCCATCCATCGCTCTTGATTATCCACTGTGAGTGCTAGACGTGCAAAATGGGTTATCCGTCCAGCTCGGTTAGGTGTTCCATCGATATTAAAAACGTCGATTGGTTTATGGAGGGGTGCACATCTTACATGGTTCCGGGTGACAAAGTCTTGGTTTAAAAACAGGGCGGTAGCTCCACAGTCTACCATGGCTGCAGTTGTTATACTGTGATTCCTTCCTCTTAGTCTCGCATGAATTCGGAAATGTGGGGAAGTAGAGTTTAATTCCCGGATCGACGATATTGTACATGATGGGTGCGAGTCATACGAGGAAGTAGCGAACATAACAAACTGATTACGGGGTACTCTCGGTGCAGCCGAAGCGGGTACCCTCTTTAAAAACCCTGTTGAAAGCCAGAGGACGAGGAGGACATAGCGTTAGCACGATCAAGTAATTCCCTTATTTGACCAATCTGATTGGAAAAGTCCTGGTTAGGGGGGCTCGGAGTAGCAGCTACGGGTGCAGGAGCAGACGTTGGGGTCGAGGACGCGATTTGGACGGATTCGTTTGGGAATAGGGAGAATGGCGCGGGTCCCGTAGCGGATATCTGTTGGCGTCGAGGTTGCTGGCGTCGGCCTCGGTCTCGTCCGAGTCCCATGAATTTGTCTTGACAGACTGCTTCCAGATGTCCTCGACGTCCACAGTAGCGGCAGGTGGTTTCTCGGTGTGGGCAGTTTTGCTTGACATGACCTTGGGCACCGCAGCCGAAGCATCGTCCTCGCATGCGAGCTAGGAATGCTTCCCTAGTATTCCCATTACTGGTGTGGGTTGCATCAATGTCCATAGCGTGGGGGTCAGCAGGGGTAGTATGAGCGGTATGCGTGGGAGGGTATCCAGAGTTCCGGCCAGTCATGGTGGGATCGTGCAGGTAGACATCCACCGATATGGCCCGTTTGATTGCCTCCTTCAGAGTCGGAGCAATTCCTTGGGCAATGTTTACGGTGATGAGGTGTTGTCGGA